AGTGAACATGAGATCTTGATTCCTTTGTCATCTTACCCCGATTCTCAGAGGAAAGACTGGTTATCAGCCGAAGCGCGCGACTCAATCGACGCGGGGTCGTCACATACAAAAAAAGAACTTTCAAATGTGCCCCGCGACTCAGTCGCTGCGGGAACGAGCTATGATAAGACTGACATCGTGTCCAACAGCTCGAGAAGTGCCGATAAGCGCGTTGTACAACATGACGGACATGACACAAACAAGGACGGTCCAATTCAGGACCGAGTCCTTCCTTCATACATCGCCACTCGGGTAGTAAGGGGCAGAGGTACCGAAGGAGTAACAGAGATGTCGGTAGACGTCTCTCCCGCGGGAACTCGAATCGGTGATCGCGAGCAAACCCCAGGCCCGTACGGGCGAGATGGCGTAACATCAAGACCTAGACGAAATGCGTTTTCGTCATGGAGTGCCAAATCGACGGAGTCAATCAGCTCAATTCCGAACACTCCACATGCTATTGCTACTGCCGCTGGTAAAGCCGGCCGGCCAGGGGAAGCCCAAGGGAACATGCATACGTACCCTAGTATCCCGACCGAGTGGGTGGGTACGAGTGCCAACGCCCCAATCCCAATAGCACTTAACGGACAATGCTGTCAGGACAGTGATGGCCCAATTGAAACAGATCATGACATATATTATATGGAAGAAGATTTTGATAACATCAATAATGATATTTCCCTTAGCCGAGCATTGTCCGTGATGATGGACAAAAAGACATCCCTGCTCAAGACGAAAGATGGTCTCCAGATGGATCCGATGAAGACACTAGTATCCTGACGCCTCAGGCGGACAGGGCGGAGGCCCAGACGAAGCATGAGAGGGGGTCCACAGGGCGAACCCCTGCGCCTCACTTCAATAAACAACGGAATGAGGACTACGAGCTAAACGTCTCGCCACTGAAAGAAGGTTTCTCCCGTAATGCCGCCGCCTCAGGTGACTGGCAACCCTCGATTCCAGCTGTTGTTGAGGATGAAGAAATCGTCGGACAACCAGCTACGTATGCCCAGCTAATAACACAAGACGAGAAGGATGAGGAGTTTTTAAATGCGCCTAAACCGCCAGGAAATACCTTCGTTTGCCCCAGATCAAATGCTTCAAGCAGGGGAAGACCCAAGATATCTAGATCAGGGGCGAGATCCACTTCAAAGAGCAACAGTGCCGTCTCCATGATGGAGGTTTGGTGGAACCCCAACCCTAACTGCGCGCCTCAGGCGCAGAGCAGATGCCCAGGAAAATGCAACAGGCCAGAAGGCGCATGTAGGAATCCAGTGTGCAAGAGTTGCTCGGACGTTTGCCATAAGTATAACATGCAGTGGCTGTGCGCAGAGCGTTACCCAATGGGCGAGCATAACTGCGCGTATCTCCCCATGCAATCTATTCAGGGCCAGGCCAGGCTGGCGGGGACTAACACTCAGAGAGAGTTGCTGACCAATGAAGCGCAGCTGGCCGAAAGGGCCCGATTGGACAGAGAAGAATTAACTTAAACTGTGGTCGAAGCGAGAAAAACGTTCGAGGCTGAACGGATCGCCCTAGCCATGGCTGCTAGAGAGCGGGAACAGGCGCCGATAGAACATCTGCGTAATCAGACCGAGGCCGTTAAACGGCAAGTGGAGCTGGAAACCGAAAAGAAATACAAAGAATTATTGACTTCGGAGAGACAGGCCGTCGCGATAGCAAACAAGGAATCTGTCGACGCCAACGCGGTTGCCGCTGCTGTTGCGGCGGCCAGGATAGAAGGAGAACCAATCGCTACAGTCATGGCGGAACGAGAAAAACAGAGCTTACAAGAAGAGCTCAAAAACGCCAGGCTGGAAGCAGCTAACACCCAAGCCGTAGCTGCGAAGATAACCGACCAGAGCAATCTTTATCTGGAAGGACTCAAATCGCATGAAGAAGCTAGATCTTCCCTCCAGCGCATAAAAACGAGCAATGCTAAGTGCCCGCCGGCTAAGCCGACTGGAACAAATGTACGCCAATCGTCGACGGCTCAGTCGTCCGGCATAGTGCCCGTTCCAACGCAATTTGATCAGACGACTCTGACAAATGCGGGGGCGTCGACCCTGCTGATGGGAGGTGTAAGACATCCTCCTCCCGAGGAGAGAGGACATGCACTTTCCGTGGGCCAATTCTGCGCAGTCGGCTTTCGTCTAAAGATGGACAAGTGCGTCGGATGTGGTAGGTCGGCACGTGAAGAACATATCGATGCAAGCACAAGAAGATGCTCCAGATGCGACTTGTGGAAGAGTGAAAGATCAGCTGCCGACATGCAAGAAGAAGAGGCCATCTCGAACGCAGCTAATGCAGAGAAAGGAAAGATGAGGCTTAAGGCTATCATCGCCGACCCGACTCCATATACCGAGAATAAACGAGAAACCGGATTCACATCAAATTCATTTGGTTTTGCGTTGCTTTCGCAAGAAACTCCCGTGAGGCCGTTGTTGCGTCGGCACTTTACTGTTCCAGACCCTGCCCTAGGAGGTCCGGCGAAGCCGAGCACCGCCGAGAGTGGACTTCCTGTTGGGATCCAGCTAACTGGACCTAACGAAGGTAATACTCTCGCCAGTTGCCGCCCATCCTGTGGAGATGGTCATACGGGAATGACGGCGACTAAGTCGTCGGGCGAAGCAGGACAGGGCGGAGAAGGAGACGACATGAGCGACGCTCCTAGCACTGAGATCGCATCTTCACATGAAGATGATCGTGGTAAATGACCACGTGGGTCGCCTCCGGGGGGGGTTCAGATCCCTCTGATGGTGGGTGGGCGCAGGGGGCCTCGGGGCCCCGGCGGACCGCGCGACTCGGTAGTAATTGACGAAAGCACGCCGTTGGATCAATGGAGACAGGTTGGTAACAACCAGAAAATTGATTTGTTTGACATCCCTGATGTTACGAACATTCGCGAGTGGCAAATGCACGCAGCACGCGCAATCGCTGGATCATCGCCCGAGAGCCAGGCTGCACAGCACTGGATTGCTGAGGCTATGGATCCAGCTGTGGAGGATGAGCAACTCAAAGATGCAGGGCGATTCCAGCGTCTCGACCTCATGATCGCAACGAATCTCATCGAGAAATTCAACAAGATGCGAAAGAATCGATATCAGCCTGGTCATCATACTCATTTCCTCCAACAGATTACTCGTATGGAATCCAGCGCCCAGAACGAGGGAAGACGCATGACTGGACGCGAGATGGTGCGAGCAATTTGCCACTGGTGTTCGGTAAGATCGGAGTTGGGACAACGTCGCATGTCGCGTGACCTCTTCAAGGTAATCATTGACCCACACAAGCCTGATGCTGACCTGTATCATTTCTACAATGAATGGACAGATGTGTATCGACAGCTTTATGGCGCTAAGCCTCCGTCCGATGGAATGAGGGCCTCGATTCATGCACACTTTCTTGAACAATGCAGAAAGCCGAGCAAACTGAACTTTGCATGCCAGTTATACGACTTGCCAACAAATAAACATGATGGACCCACGAACCCGGAAAGGGATATAGACATGTGGAGCACGGACACGTTTTCATGATACCCAACTGGGCAACACCTCGCGAAACATCCCACGAGACACCTCACGAAACAGCCCACGAGACACCTCACGAAACATTCCACGAGACACCTCGCGAAACATTTCACGAGACACCCCGCGAAACATTCCACGAGACACCCCACGAAACATTCCACGACGACAGGCAACCACTCAACCAAGGCGGTGTGGTCGTGCTGGGGAGTGGTCGTGCTGGGGTGTGGTCGTGCTGGGGGGTGGTCGTGCTGGGGGGTGTGGTCGTGCTGGGGGGGTGTCGTGCTGTGCTGGGGGCGTGGTCGTGCTGGGGCGTGGTCGTGCTGGGGCGTGGTCGTGCTGGGGCGTGCTGTCGTGCTGGGGCGTGGTCGTGCTGGGGCGTGGTCGTGCTGGTGTGGTCGTGCTGGGGTGTGGTCGTGCTGGGGTGTGGTCGTGCTGGGGTGTGGTCGTGCTGGGGCGTGGTCGTGCTGGGGCGTGGTCGTGCTGGGGTGTGGTCGTGCTGGGGCGTGGTCGTGCTGGGGTGGGGTCGTGCTGGGGTGGGGTCGTGCTGGGGTGGGTTCACCCTGTGATTTATCGATCGGGTCGTGC